TCTTTGGGTCGACCTTTCAACTCGTAAGAATGTTCAAAGTGTCAATATTGCACTATATTTTCTTAAATATAAATTTCACGGTTAAGTTTGATGTATCTTGCAATGCACAGCGATCCCAAAAGTTTGACGAGTTAAAAATTTATTACCAATCGTGCACAGTGCAACAAATTTCACGTGCGTGGCATGTCATTCTCAACGGAGAGATTTCTAATTCCATCACAATTACCCAATTCCATTATCTTCCTCTTTCTCATTCTTCACGAGGAAGTCGTCGCAACGGCTGATTCTCTCGCCTAACAAACCACGTATCCCGCGTTTTTCTGCTCCACAGTCGTTCTTCGGCCGCACTTACAACAATCTAGGCAGCATCTCCGAATGCAAGAACGGCGGCGTGTGCGTGATCAACAAGAAGAATCGAACGGCTTGCAAGGCGTGTCGGCTGCGCAAGTGTCTGATGGTGGGTATGTCGAAGTCTGGTTCCCGCTACGGACGCCGCTCCAACTGGTTCAAAATCCACTGCCTCCTTCAGGAACAATCGCACCAAGCTCAGACACGTCTGATCAAGGATCCGAAGTCCGCGTACGAGAAGGCGTTCGGCTCGCTGGACGTGGCGAACAATAACAACAACAACGAGAACACCGGTACCACAAGTGCGTCGAACGTAGTCGGTATGGTTACCACAACGACAACCACAGCGAACAGTTACCATCACCATCATCATCAACACCATCAACAGGACAGGTTCCCGAAAAGGGACGACTTGAGGCCGCAAGATATCCCCGCGCAATTAAGAGCGCCTGATATACCAACGAGGGCTAGTCAAGATCCTCTTCTGAGGCCTGTGGACCTTGTTAGAGCACCCCATGAATTATTGAGGCCGGAAGTGTCTAGGTTCCCTATGTGGAGGGGTCCGCCGTTCTTCCATCCTGCTCTGACGCACATGCAACTCCTGAATACGCCATTTTTCCCGTTCCAACAACGATTCATCGTTCCATACGTGAACCAAGTTGGCACACCTCAAATGGTGGCTAGCTTAACGAGTTCGTCGAGCGACAGCGTGAGCCCTAGATCAACGCCGTCGCCGAAACGAGACGAGGACAACAGAAGTACCAGGGGGGACGAGTGTAGGGATACAGACAGCGGGTGTCAGAGAAGTCAAATGGATGCGTACGACAAAAGTCTGGCGTTTCTGCGTTCGTTGGGCCCGGAACAAGAGGAACCGATCGATTTGAGCATGAAGGCTGGTCGAACGGACGGTCAGGAGGCGGACGCGGCTGGTAGCACGGAAGAGGAAAGGTCGACGGACAGCGAGGACAACGAGCTGTTGCAGGACACGGGGCCGCCCCTCGATCTCACTAGAAAGACGTGACCCCGGACAGCCAGCTCGCGGACAGCTCTCGATTGGAACTGGACTGGCTCGTGTTGAATCGTCGTCGTTCGAAGGCGTCGCTCCAAGTGCCAGCCTCCTCTACGTACAGCGACTGGCATTGTTGGTCCTTTCACAGGGCACGAGGAGATGAGTTACGGTTGTTGGAACGTATTGAGAATGAGAATGGTCCTGAGTAGAGGAAATTGCGATGGAAAGAAAATACTTGGAGGAGAAGAAGAGGAAGATGAGAGACGAGTGGAAATTTGGAGAATCGAGGGAAGTAATGCGAAGATAATAACGTGGAATGAAAAGAGGAGACATCTGGGATGTGAAAAGCGTCGGAGGAGTGTGACACAATGGAAGGGCAGAGAGATAGCAGGAAGTACGGAAGAGTGGACGTCACGAGCCGCGTGTAGCCTTGCACAAATGACTTTACGATCAGCGATCGGATCGACGTAAAATTGCTCAAGTCCTCGGTATTAGCCGACACGGTCCCTTTGGCTGGCTTCAGCTTCGCCAGGTGTTCGTTGACGGAGTGGCCGAAGATCGGCTCGATACATCCTTTCGCAGCGAGATGTACGACGGACGATTGTGCCTCAACCGGTGCCTTTGAGCTCTTGTACCGTAGTGTACGGGAGTGAAGGAGAGAATGGGAGATAGAGAGAAAAAGTGTGAGAGAGAGAGAGAGAGAGAGAGTGCCAGTAAAAACCACGTGATAGTTTAACGTTAAATAATAACCGCGCTAACGTACGCGTGTAACGAGTACGTACGTAGATGCAAAAGTACATGTATGTATATGTCTGTGCGTGTGGTAAGTTCGTTTTTCTGTCGTGCAAAAAAAATACGTCTATTAGAGAAGTGCACGATCGGTGAGGGCGTTCGAGAGAGAAACGGAAGTTCCGATCTCTCGACGCTCCGGAATGGCCAGTGTTTTGTTAAGCCGCATCGGGATTTTCTTTTTATTTATGTCGAGTCTTTTATTTAACGCGACTTAATCTACTCGTCGGTCTGTCAGTCTCGCCGCGACATATCGGCGTGCACGCGTGGAACCAGTTCGATTCTATCGTCGTGGAAGATTGTACCAAATCGTAACGAAGTCAAAATGTATAAGTCGTCGACGAAAAAAGAACGATCAGGATCAGGACGCGGGGTTGCGCGCGTGCAAAACGTACCGAGTGTTCGGCGAAAAATAAACACCAAGTAAAATAAAGAATATTGTATAGCCAATACGTGGCGCCTTGATCGTCGTTCATTAAATCTCTCTCCCCGATCATCGTTTCCCTTACGCGACCGTACGTAATCACACGTAGGTACCTCGAACTCGAGATGGTATTCGATTACTTTCGTCTCGCGCGTCTCTCGCATTCCGAACAGTCGCCGCGAGAACGCACAGCGAGCGGATTCACGGCGAGCGAGGAATCACCACGGTATCTTACCGAGTTATTTATTTAGTAATAAATTTGTCCGCGTTGATGTACTACGAGGAACACGTTTTCTCGGATAATTCCGTTCTAACGCCGCGAAACGCCTCGCGAGGACACACCACTTCTCCGCGATTCCACAGAGGACGTCGCCGAGGCAGCAGGAGACGATAAACGCTCGTTTAAAAACGCTCGGCAATAAACACACTGGTATATATCGATCGTAAGGTGTGCTGCAACCTAACGTTTGACCTAACCGTGACACGGGAACGTATAGAGTGGGGGGGAGAAAAAAAAAAGAACGAACGTAAGGAGACATCTTGGATAGGTTCGTGGGTCCAGCGACGAGTAAGTGGCTCGAAACGACGTCCTTGTACACCGAGCGTTTATTGCTAATTACGTTGGTCTGGAATCGAGGAAATTTCACGGTCCTCGTATAATATATCATAAGCTGTGATAATTTATGAACGCCCGTGAAGCAATGAGGAACTGGCGGAGGCACGAGATACCGCCAGACGGGTATCGCGTTTCTAATGCGACTTCTCGACGATTCTATTTGACTTTGTCGCGCTCCTTTTTTTCGTCAATTTTACGAACACTATCGGGACGAGTTACTTTTACTTATTTTGCCTTCGAGTCTTCTCGTTCGATTGATTAATATCTCATTTACGATGACAAGATTTGTAACGTCTCTAATTTTTAATTAAGACCTGTAATTATTAGGTGTGAAAATTAATTCACATTATGAATTATTGCCCATTTTCACATTATGAGTAAAGAATTATGGGTTCAAAGCCGCCATCATTTTTCCGAGAGAAAATTAGTCGGTTGTCGTTGAAAATAATAGAAATTATTTAGATTTTTTCATAAATAAATATTAAAGTTTGTGAAGAAAGGTACTTTAATTGGTACACCTGACAATTCAAACGAAGACGAGAAAAATCCTAAATAGACGACACGAAGAAACCAGATTGTAATGGGATAAATCAACGAATCAGTCTGATTTTCACAAAGATTCATTTTCGTAAATTTAATCTTCACCTGATCGTCATTCTCACCTTTTCAATTAACGTGTAAACTTCATTTTCAAACTTTGACGTTAATACTTCAAGTGGTTTCGAGAAGAAACCAGCTTCGAATTCGACGCACAGCCGGAGATTTCAACGACCTGGTTCGGAGACTTTAACGGCCGCACAAGCGCGATCGTTTCCGCGCTCGTTCCCGCTTTCTTTCCTCGGTCCGTGCCACGGCGAGAATTCACGCGGGGCGACACAATCGACAGGCCGCGACGCGTTCACCTGCGTGCACCTGCGTGTATTCACGAGCACTCGTGCCCGTAACCCCGGACGTTCGAATGCCTGGGATCTCCGCTTGTTGACTTAGGTGGGACGAGGCGAAGAGGGGCCACTCGATGTCCGTCGAACGAGCTCTAGTGGTTTCTTGGCCGGACGATTCAGGTTCCTCAGCTTCTGGCCCCATGTGTGCGGCGAAAAAACCGCTACCAACGCAACACGATGACGTATGCGTACGCACGAGAACGTTCGTTTGTTCCTGGATTACATAAATTTGACAAACAGAGAATCTTCCTTATTTCGGGATATCTCCAGATCGAATCAGACGGTGAAATTGAGTATTTAGTTAAAGTCAGTTGTGTAATTGTTCGAGTAATATTGTTCTCTAGTATAGCACCTTATACCGTAAGAATTCCGCGATCGTCTGACATTTCATACTCACACACGTGTCGGTAATTACGATTGAAGAGAAAGAGAGAGAGAGAGAGAGAAAAAGTTTGAAAGGTTGTCATTCAGTGTCGACAACGCGTTTAAGCGACTTTTCATTCGCCCCGTCTGAAATAATTTACAAGGCATAGAAATTCTACTCTCTCCTTTATGAAATCTGTTCTTCATTTGCTACACGGTTTCGAACGTGTTTCGCTCACACGATCTTCCTTCTATATTTACGTTAATTTGCGCGCGCGGGATGCACAGATCCTACTTCGCCGTACGACACCTGTGACGCCGTACATCGCGCCCACGTAAATTATCCCGGGTAAGATTTACGACGCGTCTCGAGCCGCGCGTTTACTGCCGTGTCTCGAAATCCACAGACGTGTATCCGTCTGTTATTAATGTCGAAATTAGAAGAAAAAATCGCCCGACTAGACCACACTGGAAGGAAAGGTTCCACGAAAACAGAAATCTCTCTCTAACACACCTCGTCGCGATATCAATCGCCGACTAAACTCTCTTCCCATCTCTCTTTTCTTCACAACCGTGTCGTTGTATGCTACTTATGCTCGATTCCTCCTCGTTCAACCTCCATTTGTCATGTATTTTTCGGCGTGTTATGTAAATCTGAAGGAACAGAGGGGTCGTCCGCGATGTCGTAAATTAATAAAGTCCCTCCTCGAGGACAGTGGAGGCGAGGAAAGGGAGAGGAGAGACCGGAAGAGCCGGAAGGACCGGTTGTCCATTGACGAGGCTTCTCCTCCATGAATGGTGGTACGCCTCGAAATTGGTCAGAGCGGATTTCATTTCGATTTTTCAATGTTGTTTCACGTTTACGTCGAGGGTTATCAATTTCGTGACTCGTTCCTGTTTTTCCTTTTTTCTTTTATTTCCTGCTGTTTCTCAACGCTTTTTTATTCATCATTATCGCGTTACTGTCGAAAGAGACGATCGCGATTTTTCACGATTCGCCACGGAATATTGAACACGCGTAACATATTATGTCACAGTGGCGTTCTCAGAAGCGACAAGAAGAAGTACTGATTAATTGTCCCTAACGATCTGCGTCGTTTCAACAAACACGACGTGGTTTCCCTCGTTTCCGGCAATGTCTGACTCCGATTCACGATTCGATCAGGCTCTTAACGAACTCGCAGCAATACACTGGGTGATGTGTCAAGTTTGAATGGCATATGTGTGCACCGTAATTGTGACAAGGAGTTTGCAAGTGTACTGCTACCCTTATTTACTTTTCCCTTTTATATACTGTATCAGTCTGGAGAACTACTTACTTAATTTACTCTATTCAATATTTATGGCGCTATACAAATTTCTGCAGTATTTTCATTTATTTCGCGAGCTTAAGAACGTTATTACCAACATTTAATTCATCTAGAATTTTAAAAACAGCTACCACGAATTCATCGTTACGAATTTTTAGAAAATATTAATCTACAAAAAAAAAAACAGAACAAAGTACATTCTTATAAATAAAAAAAATCGAATTCTCACTCAAAAATCGAACGATTCTCCAACTCTACTCGCAAGAAGTCAACCCTAATTCTTCAAAGATCCCAAAATTCTCGCTTTGCACTGGTCCGAGGAGCACAGAAGAGTACAGATGAGGCCACTACAGGCAACAGGCTCAAACGATCCACCAACGTCTGCCGTCGAAAGAAGACGACGACGACGAGGACGAAGACGAAGAGGACGAAGAGGAAGAAGAAGCGGACCACGGCTGGCGAGGTAGCACACGCAGCGAGGTCGGCAGATGCGCGGCACGGGTGTAAGAGGGGCCATTACACGCGAATGCGTGAGGTAAAGAGGTTTACTACACCTGTGGCCTGTGGGC